CGAGACCACAGGAAGCAAAGGCAGGCCAGCTCAGCTGAGGAACCCTTTAAACCCAAAGCCCTAGCCAACCTGGCAACTGACCACAGACACATGAGTAAGCATTGCTGAACCATAAGAATCTCTCAGCTGAGCTCAACTGAAATGGCCAATATGAGGAATTGTGAGCTAAATAAGTGGTGGTTGTTTTAAGCCACTGAGTTTTAAATGGTTTGCTTTGCAACAAAAGCTAACCAATATGTTTGGGGGAAAACTAGGTCATCCTGATTGGCTAAAAGATGGTCTTCAAGACTAAAGTTGGGGCTAAATTGAATGCCACCCTAAAGAGTTTGAAAGCAATTCATTGGGCAGAGAGATACTGTGGAATAGATGGTTGACTTATGACCAAACATTTGGGTCCCCTGTTGCACAGTATTGAGTTGCAACAGGCAGGGAACAGACTGCCAAGCCAGGGACTGTGTTTTCCCAGCTCTCTTTTCATATGACCAGTTCTCTCCCATGGGATGTGAACAGCAGGGGTGTGTGTTACAGGTTGAGATGCCTAGGTATTAAGTATGGGATCCTCCATTCTCTCTCTCTGTCCTGTCTGGTAGATGGTGATATCAGGTCAGATTTGAACACACAGGATGGTAGAACCTTAAGATGGATACAACCTGGATTCCTGAGTCCCCCCGTAGAGGAGAATCATTTGGCAGAGCGGGCTTTGCATGAGTAAGAAATAGACTTTTATCATGTTCTATTTTACTTTATCATGTTAAGCTTTTAGATCATTGAGATTTAGGGGTTGTTTCTTACAGCATCTGGCATTACTCACCCAGACTAATGTAGGTACCACTGCAAGCTTTTGAGTGGAGGTATTGGAACCCTCAAAGAGGTGATGTGGGTGTTGCTGGGTTTAGCAACCAAATGCAGGGTAAAAAGGCTTCTGTAGTGCTCTAGATCTAAGAAGACTATGACCTGGGTGTGGCCTTGGCCATAAGAGCAGAAAGGATAGCACTGAAGTAGACAGTCCTTTGATGTTAGACACCTTCCTTCCGGGGAGGAAACTTGTTAAACTGTGGACATTCCCACATACACAGGAATAAAATATATATCTAAATTGTTTTCCACCTTGGTATTTCAGGATTAGAGTCTGTAAAGGCCAGTTTTTCAAAAATAAATACATCAGAAGTTTTTTTTTTTTTTTAAGGATGATGATGGTGATGGTGATGAAGCTTGGCCCACCAGAGAGGTTCTATTCCTCCTTTGAGTCTGAGGATATGTGGCACCTCCCTCCTCATTGTGACCGAGCCTGTGATCTAAACAAGAAGGAATGCACCATTCTGCTGCTTAGTTTTCTGTGAGAGTGGGAACAGGTCCTCCTGAGGAAACATGAGGATCCTTCATGAGTTTTTTTGAGGAAGATTTAGATGGATTTCATTTTATACCCTGTTCATCCTGGGAGTAGTTCCATGCCTGTCCCTGGAAGTGTTCTGGAGCCACATGCTTCTGAGGGAGATCCATCCCTTCAAATTGCTCCATGGGGCCACAGGCCGTCCTGAGCATGTCACAGCTGTGGCACTGCTTCCAATAGCTCAGCTCACTTGCCCTGTCAGTGCTTGGCCTAGCCTCTGCCCACCCCTCTCTGCCAGACTCCCAAGGCCAGGTCTGTCCCAGGCAATGAAAACCTGGTAGGACATCCCTGACTCCATCTGCCTGTCTGGCTGGCCATTTGCCTGTTGCCTGTGGCCACACAACTAGATACCTGACCTGTAGATCCCCTGATGTTGGCTTCTCCCCGGCTTCAGTCTGTTTGTCAAGTCTCCTTGGCCTGGCCTGCCCCAGCCAAGCCCAGATTTTGACATTATCCCAAGGGCAGCTGTAGCTCTTCAGCTGTGCTTCATGATGGCCTTGGAATGCTTCCACCTCCCACCCAGTGCCCAGAGGCCCCTGGAATGTTGAGAGAGAGCTTTGACCTAGAGCTGGCTCGCCTCACACCATAGCTAAGCAGTTTAGTGTAGCATACAACCAACCTCAAACCAGCTTGACTCAGATTCTTAAAGGGTCAGTTCCAACCACCTCATGTCACCCAGCAGAGCATAATGGTAATTATATATAAGAACCTCTTTCTACCATTGAAGTGGGCAAAATATGCCTTCAGGAACCCACAGCAACCTATAGAATCCACTTGAGGTCTTTCAAGGGATGTGATATTCCTTTTAATATCTGTATTAATATGCTATCATTATAATTCCCATTTTTTTTTGCATCTATCTTGAAAACTGAACCTAAGAACAACACAAGTACTGAAATATATTGCTACTCCTACAATGGCTTGTTGGTTAATAATAATAATGATGATGATGGTAAACACTAACACTGATTAAACACCTATTGTATACTAGGCTCATTTAAAAATAAATTATATACACTGTCTTATAGAATCTCCATGATATCCTTACTTTATGAGGTTGATATTATTATTCTCCCATTTTATAAATTAGGCTAAATAATTTGCCCAACTTCATAAAATACAACAATTGGGTAGTCCAGCTTGGAATCCAGGTCACATGGTACTAGAATTTGTGCTGAAAGCTCTAGGTTATTCTGTATGTCTATGCATGACAGACAGACTCTGTATGGCTAGTTTCCCCCTGTTAATTCAATCTGGGAGCAATGATGGTGGGATTTTTTTTTCAATAATTAAAAAAATAATTGGGAGTTATTTATTTTGTTTAATTGCACCAAGAAGTGTTAGCTTTTCAAAGCAGAAAAATTATAATAGCTTTCTATAATTCTAGAACATAGAATTCAAACACAATTTTACTACCCTGATATAACCACTGTTAATGCTTGAACATATAATTCAGTGTTTTTCTTTTCAATGTTTTCTTGTGTTATGTTAGTAATGCAAGTAATTTTATAAGAAATGGAATTGAAACGAAGGAAATAAAAGTCCCCAAGTTCTACTGTATTTGCTTTCCAAATTCTATATGTTTTTGGTGGGTGTATTGGATCATATTGCTTTATAATTTAATAAAATTTTGTAAGTGTTTTTCATGTAAGAGAATATTCTTCCATAACACCTTTATTACTTTCTATTTCAGTGTAACAAATTGTTACATACTGAGTGGCTTATTTATTATCTCACAGTTTCCATGGGTCAAGAGTCCAGGCCTGGTTTAGCTTGAGCCTCTGCTTGGGCTCTCACAAGGTTACAGACATGGTGTAGGCCAGGCTGCATGCTCATCTAGAGGCCTGATAAGGGAAGAATCCACATCCAAGCTCATTCAGGCTGGTGGCAGAATTCACTCTCTTGAGGCTGTGTGTCTGAGGGCCCAGCTTCTTCCTGGCTGCCCTTAGGACTTAGAGGCCAACCATAGTTCCTCATCACATGGCTCTTTCCTTTGGCAGCTCATAGCATGATGGTTGTTTCTTCCAGGCCAGCAAGAGAATCTCTCTAGTGTGTCCTGGCAAGATCAGTGTTCTACCTATGTCTGTATCCACATCTACATCTCTATCACTAGTGTAATCTAACCATACACTTTTGCCCTATTCTATTGGTTAGAAGTTTCAGGTCCTACCCACACTCAAGAGGAGGGGGTTATGCAGGGTATGAACATGAAACCACCCTAGAAATTTGTTTGCTACACACTTTGTATTTTATTCTAAATTTATTTTCAAATTTTATTTTATTTATCCTTGTTAAGGATTTTATTTAAGTAATTAATCAGTGAGTGAACCAGGAAGATGGTATAACCAGTTCAAAAGAAAATCCAAAGAACAGACATTTTTAGATCAAGAATATTGGCATGAATGTGTGAATGGAGGCAAAACCAGCCTCTTCCCCAGTGGGGGAAGGCAGTCATTTGAACCTCTGTGGGACAGGACAGGGCAGGATTTGCGTGTCTCTAAGCAAGAGGTGTTTCACATTGCTATCAGTTATAATATTTCAAGAGTTGTAAAATAGCTCCCATGGAATCAGAGTCAGATAACATGAAAGGGTGTGCCATACACCATTTAAAACTGAGCCATGCTAGTTCAGTTTTTTGATGTGCTCTCATTTATTTAACAAATCCCTTATATTCAAACATTAGTGTTTCCATTTTGTCATTATAAGAACTACAGTGATCACCCTTGTGTTAATTTTTTCAGAGACATCTTTATTTCCGTTGCATGACTTATGAGACTTGGCTTGGTCAAAAAGTTCACACATTTTAAAGGCGATTGCTGGGGCTGCTAAATTGTTCCCCAGAGCAATTCCCTGCAGGGGTGTAAGAAGGTACAGGGGGCTATTTTAGTGAACTTAGCCGAGTTCGTATTCTTGAAGTGCTAGAGTAGCGCAGAGCACAGTAGAGGGCCGTATGCAGATATAAAGTAAAATAAAGAAAATTGAGTTGTTTCATCTTCACAACAACCCCGTGAGGTAGCGTATTAATGATCTTATCATTTTATAGAAGAGAAAGATAAGGCTAGAAGGGTGAAGAGAAAGATGACTGAGTTAAATACCCAAAGGCCCGGGTTGTATGCCGGCTCCTTTGCTTACCAAGCACATGACTTTAAGCAAATGATTTATCCTGTCTGAGTTTATTCTCTGCTCTGTCAAATGGGGCCAACCTCAAGGGAACTAATGCCTGAGTGAGAACTAGGAGGCTGTAGCCCAGTGATTCTTGCCCTTGGCTGCAAAGTGGAATCACCTGGAGACCTTTAAAGTCCACCTCCCCCAATTCCACCCCCTGATGCCCAGGTCCCAGCCCTGGAAATACTGATGTCATTGGCCTGGCAGCAGGCGTTTTTAAAACTCCCAGGTGAAAAAAAAAACTCCCAGGTGATTCCACTCTGCAGCCAGGGCTGAGACCCACGACTAGAGCCACCCCCACTCTCAAGGGATTGTTTGTGTCTGCAGCCAAAGAAGCAACAGTCAGCTTCTGCTCTCCGCTCCAAGCTGTCAGGAAATAGCCTGTAAGGATCAGGCCGGAATCAAACCTCTGTCTTAAACTTCAGAGTCAACTCAGTCAGCTAAGTTAGTTTGGAAAGCCATCAATTACCTGCTGTTTTACTCTCCGGTGTGGGTCCCCGGGCAGCGGGGCGTCAGCATCAGACGTGCTGGCAGGGCTGCTTTCCAGTGGAGCCTGCTGCTGCTGCTGTTTTTCTAGAAGCCAGAGCAGATCTTCAGCTCCCTGCTGCCTGTCAGTCACAGCTGCACGACCGAGGCCAAGGGAGCAGATGCCTGGCTGCCCGCCACTGGAGCTGGGTAGCAGATTTGCTGAGGTGTCCTTGGGGCAGGGCCAGCCTTCCAACTCTCTGTGAGGGCTGGGGATGAATTTCTCTGAGCTGCCAAACGACGCTCGAAATGAACGTGATCCATCAGTGGAATGAAAGCCTTGGTCCAGTTCCTCTAGCATGACACAGCAGGCCAGCACCAGGCCCTGTCTTTCTCCTGCACCTGATAAATTGCAAGAGGTATGTGTTTCAGTGATTTCACTGAGGTCAGACACCGCCAGTGATTATGGGGGGAAATGGTAGTGTGGAGAAGTTTCCAGAGAAAGACAAGAGAATGAAAATCTCCTATTTAAGGGGGACACCGGGTGGACACTAGACAACCACAGAAATGAGATGTGCTTCTCTGTAGCTTAGAGGTGAGAAAACTGTGACTTAGAGGTGAAGTGTCTAGTTGCAAGGTCACACAACTAGCCAGTGAGCAAACTAGATCACATGTTGGCTTGTCAGCCTGCATAGCACTTGGTCTTTGTTCACGGCTTCTCAAACTGGCAAGGAGACTTTTGGATCCAAGTAGCTAGTTTTTTTGTTGCTTTGTTTTCTTCTCAGGATTATTGTCTGGGGGGCCTGTCCTTGGCCCAATGGTGAAATATCAAAGGTTGCTTTCGTCATGGTTCAACTTCCATGGTGAATTAATTGAGGTAATGTCAGCTGCTAAAACAGAGAAACCCGTTAATGTCCAGCACTTAACAGTCGACCTTGGTTTCTGGCTCATACAATGCCCAGCTGGTGGTGTGGGGATGGACGTTCAGCTCCACTGGGTCATGCAGGGACCCAGATTCCATCTACCTGCATCTCTGCCCTCCTAAGGGCTTCACTGCTGCTGGCTAGATCTTCTGTCTCTGGAAGGCAGGCAGGAGAGGGGAGCACGGGGGCTCCCGGAGGAGGTTCTGGGCCTCAGGTGAGGACAAGTAGACCACAATTCTGTCCACATCCCATTAGCCAGAGCTCAGTCACTTGTCAGTGCCTAACATTCTTGCCTGGAGAATTCCATGGGCAGAAGAGCCTGGCGGGCTACAATCTATGGGATCACAAAGAGTCGGACACGACTGAGTGACTAACACACATACACAAAGCAAGGGAGTCCGGGAAATGGATCTCGCTGTGTGCTGGTGAAGACAGGAGAGGGAGTGAGCGAGCAAGTGGCAGACCTGGCCATAGCCCTACATGCCCCTGGGGTCTCTTCCTTCCTGAGTCCTCCCCCTGTTGACTCTCCACACCCTCTCCTGAACCCCATCTTGTGCTTCAAGTCTGCTCTTTGGTTGACAAGGACCTTCTACCGAGTTTCTACCCAGGATGCAAAGATCAAGGCAGGAGCCCCAGGGCTTCCTGGCCATGGCTTTGCTAAGTCTTCAGGAGGCACCGGGGCCACAGTCTGTGGGCTTCTCACCAGCTACTGGCCCGCCTTCCGCACGCCCTCCAAGGAGGGAGCCAGTAATGGAGGTTGCCGACCCTTGGCTTAACTCTTCATTTGCCTAATGATGATGAATGTCGGCGTCTCTGAATCTGAAAGCCCTGGCTGGTTTTCCTGCAGGGTCTCCTCCTTGCCTTGTTTTCTTTTTCCTCAGCTCTGCTGGCTTCGGACCCCAGGGGGAAGATGAGTTTTGCAGTGATGGACGGTAGGGATTTTTCACACCTGCCAGTTCTGACATCCCGAGTCAGCAGGATCTGTGCTGCCAAGAAACATGATTTAGAGGCACTCCATTCAGACTAGAAATGTTCCTTAGTGCATTCGTGATCCTCTGTGGTCAAGGACGCCTCTTAACAGAATTTCCTTCAGAACAAGCAAAGGCTCCAAGTGGACTGAGAATTCTTTGGTTGTCTCCCCTCCTCCGGAGAAGTGCTCCCACAGGATGAGTGATCAGGACTCAAACTTTTGTGCTATCTCCTTGTCACTTTGCAGAACCATGGGGGCTTGCCCGCACAAACTTGACTGAGGAAGCTCCTTCCGATGGCTTCTAGGAGACTTATTAACATTTGAGCTGAGAAGATCTTGGCCCAGAAAGTTTGGTGAGCTTACAGTACTTTGTCAAGATTGGGGAGAAACAGGGTCATTGGTGAGGGGAGCTGGGCCCTGGCACCGGGTAGTGGGAACAAAGGCCAGAGACTTGAAGCAGTCAGCTCCCCCCTGCTCCTCCCCGAAATCAAGCCAGTGGGAACAGCAGCCACCCCTAGTCATACTCACCTTTTGTCTTAGGCTGGGTTCCCTGAAAGCAAACTCTGGCCTGAGGCTTCATGGGACAGCACTGTATTTAAAGACCAGGCGGGAGTGGGAGGTGGAGCTGGGGAAGGGCAGGAGCCCAGCGAGGGCAAGGCAGCTGGCAAAGCCCACGGGGGCACCTGACTCAAGCCTGCAATGATGCTCTGGAGTTTGTGTCTGCATTAAGGGACAAGGAGTGCTTACACCCTATACCCATCAGTATGTCACTGTCCCTGGGCAACTCATGGTTGACGATCAGAGCAACCCACCAAATTAGACACAGGTGCTGGTGGGTGGGTGGGAAAACCCATCAGACACCATGTGCCAAAATGGGGAATGGCTCTGAGGGGATGACTGATGTCACTGACTTTGGGCCCATGTGGTGGCTGCTTTCCCTTGTGGAACAGCCCTTACTAGCAGCTTTGTCCTAAGAGCACAGAGTGAGTTTGGCCTGGGTCAGGGAGGTGCTTTGTGGTAAGTGTGGGGCCTCCCCAGCCCCTCTCTATATAGGACAGTGGTTGCCACTAGATAAATTGAATGCAGACTAGGGTGGTGGCCTGGCATGTGGTGCTAGGCCATTAAAAATTTAGAAGCATTTTCAAAGGAAACTTCAGTGTAAGTCACATTCCTTTCACTGTGGGAAAGGGACTGGAATCTCAGATCTGACACTTCACAATCTGTTTTAAGCTGAGCTGGCACTCTAGGGGTGGGAATCTGTGTGTGTGTATGTGTGTGCACATACACATCAGTAATCCACATTAATGATGTCTAAGCTGGCACTCATCTCCATTCAACCCCATCTGCAGAGCCATTGGCCTTCTGGATCCAAACACTATAGTGTTCCTCCTCAGAACTCCCATAATGCCTTGCAAGCATTTCTGTCGTCATGTGAACCACATCATTTTACAATGATTTGTTTATGTGCCTGTGTTTTTTAAATTGTGGTTGATTTACACTGTTGTGTTAATTTCTGCTCTACAAAGTGATTTGGTTATACACACACACACACACACACACACACACACATATATATATACACTTTTTAAAAATATTCTTTTCCATTACAGTTTATCACAGGATAGTGAATATAGTTCCCCATGCTGTATAAGAAGGCCTTGTTGTTTATCCATCATCTGCACAGTAGTTTGCATTTGCTAACCCCAAGTCCCCAGTCTGTCCCTCCCCAACCTCCTCCTCCCTCTTGGTTGCCACAAGTCTTTTCTCTGTCTGTATTCTGTTTGTGTTTCCTAGGTAGGTAGGTTCATTGATGTCATATTTTAGATTCCACATACAAGTGATATCATATTTGTCTTTCTCTGTCTGACTTACCTCATGTAGTATGATCATCTCTAGTTCCATCCATGTTCTTTCAAATGGCCTCATTCTCTTCATTTTGATGGTTGAGTAGTATTCTGTTGTATATATATGTACTACATCTTCTTTGTTCATCTGTTGGTGGACATTTAGGTTTTTTCCATGTCTTGGCTGTTGTGAATAGTGCTCCTGTGAACATATGGGTGTATGTATCGTTTTTAATTATAGTTTTGTATAGGTATATACCCAGAAGTGGGATTGCTGGATTATATGGCAACTCTTAATGTTTGTATTAATCAGGCTAAGCTTCTTGAGGGCAGAGCCCACGTCTTAAATTTATCCAAGCTCTAGTCCCCAACTCAATGTCTGGATGTAGGGTAGGTGCTGAATGAACAAACTGTGAGAGAATTGAAGAGTTAACCAAGGAAAAAGCTAAGGTCATGAAGCTAGAACGCTGACTGAAAAGGAAACAAAAGGATTGTAGGAGGTGGAATCGATAAATCCATGAGACAAGGATGTGGAACAATAGGAAGCCTCACCTACTGTTTGCTGGTGAATGGTTGAATTTAGACTTTTGTATTACCAAGTAGACCTGCCCATGTGTACACTCTACAAAGCAGCAATTCTGTTCCACAGGGTATGCCCTAGAGAAACCCTTGCACACATATACTAGGAGGTGTGTGCAAGAATGCTTGTGGATGCATAATAGCTCCAAACTGGGGGAAAAAATTAACAAACCAGTGTCTGTCAACAACAGAATGGATGTTGTGATAGTGTAGTACATATAATGGCATACTCTACAACAGTGAAAATGAGGGAACCACAACTATCTACATCAACATGGTTGAATCTCAAAAATTAGATATTGCTGGGAAAAAGTAAGTTCCAGAGGGAGTCATACAGAACAATTGCATTTGCATGAAGTCCCAAAGGGGAAATGAAAAAAATTGTTTAAGAATAACTGTGTAGAAAAGGAAACCAGATCTGAAAGAGACACGTGTACCCCAATGTTCATCGCAGCACTGTTTATAATAGCCAGGACATGGAAGCAACCTAGATGCCCATCAGCAGATGAATGGATGAGGAAGCTGTGGTACATATACACCATGGAATATTACTCAGCCATTAAAAAGAATTCATTTGAATCAGTTCTAATGAGATGGATGAAACTGGAGCCCATTATACAGAGTGAAGTAAGCCAGAAAGATAAAGACCATTACAGTATACTAACACATATATATGGAATTTAGAAAGATGGTAACGATAACCCTATGTGCAAAACAGAAAAAGAGACGCAGATGTATAGAACAGACTTGTGGACTCTGGGAGAAGGCGAGGGTGGGATGTTTCAAGAGAACAGCATTGAAACACGTATATTATCTAGGGTGAAACAGTTCACCAGCCCAGGTTGGGTGCATGAGACAAGTGCTCGGGCCTGGTGCACTGGGAAGACCCAGAGGGATTGGGTGGAGAGGGAGGTGGGAGGGGGGACCGGGATGGGGAATACATGTAAAAAAAAAAAAAAAAAAAAGATACACTATGGTTGTGATAAAATAAATAAATAAATAAATTTTAAAAAAAAAGAATAACTGTGTAGATGATAAAATAGAA